TTTTTTTTTTTTTTGAGACAGGATCTTACTCTGTCACCCAGGCTGGAGTGCAGTGGTATAATCATGGCTGATTGCAGCCTCAGCTTCCTGGGCTCAGGTGATCCTTTTACCCCACCCTCCCAAGTGGCTGGGACCACAGGTGTGTGCCATGACACCTAGCTAATTTTTTGTATTTTTGGTAGACACAGGGTTTTTCTGTGTTCCCCAGGCTGGACTCAAACTCCTGGACTGGGGCCATCCACTGACCTTGGCTTCCCAAAGTGCTAGGACTACAGGCATGAGCGACTGCCAAATCTGTTTTTGATTTTTTTTTTTTTAAGACAGGGTTTCACCATGTTGGTCAGGCTGGTCTTGAACTCCCGACCTCAGGTGATCCGCCTGCCTTGGCCTGCAAAGTGCTTGGATTACAGGCCTGAGCCACCATGCCCAGCCACCTGTTTTTGATTTTTAAGAGTCCTTTCACATTGCCTTTGATTTCCTGCTGCAGCATAAGCAGGAGGTCTAGACCACCTGTTTCAAGATGGACAGTCTCCACAGTAGTTGGTGGAGCAGTTGAGAGAAAGGGAATTTAATTTCCAAGTTACAAATTCATTATCATTTAGAGAGGATCAGTCTTATTTAATCTAGGCATAGGTGCAGGGTTAGATTAAGGTATGGCTGGAAGAGTTACCAATTAGTGACAGAGGGTTCTTTAGATGAGCTTTTTTTTTTTTTTTTTTTCCCTGAGACAGAGTTTCACTCTTGTCTCCTAGTCTGGAGTGCAATGAGGCAATCTTGGCTCATTGCAACCCTGGTTCAAGCAACTATCCTGCCTCAGCCTCCTGAGTAGCTAGGACTACAGGTGTGCACTACCATGCCTGGCTAGTTTTTGTATTTTTCATAGAGATGGGATTTCACCATGTTGGCCAGGGTGGTCTCAAACTTCTGACCTCAGGTCTCCCAAAGTGCTGGAGTTACAGGTGTAGCTACCGCGTCTGGCCTTTAGATGAGTTTTGATCCTTAAAATGTTGCTGTGTGTGTATCTACATTTGACTATGTTAACAAAATGCCACAATTTTTATTTTAACAAAAATGTATGGTTGGGAAATAGATGGTTTTTACTTATATCTGTTTATATCAAAACATGTACCTATCACCCTTAATAAAATACATTTGTGAGGGTTAGTTATTTGACTAATGAATGAAGCATATGTAAGTTGAAAATGAAAACAATCTTAGTTTCTTTTTGGGTATCATTTTTATTCTTGCCTGCATTTCTAAGATTATTCATATGATACTTGAAAGTCATGAAGTGTTAAAAATTCCTGAGGCAGGCTGTGTGTGGTGGCTCACGGTTGTAATCCCAACATTCTGGGAGACCAACCTGGGAGGATTGCTTTAGGCCAGGAGTTCGAGACCAGCATGGGTAACATAGTGAAACCTTATCTCTACAGAAAAAATTTAAAAGAATTGGCTGGGCATAGTGGCTCACGCCTGTAATCCCAGCACTTTAGGAGGTCGCGACGGGTGGATCATGAGGTCAAGAGATCGAGACCATTCTGGCCCACATGGTGAAACGCTGTTTCTACTAAAAATACAAAAATTAGCTGAGCATGATGGCAAGCACTTGTAGTCCCAGCTATTCAGGAGGCTGAGGCAGGAGAATTGTTTGAACCTGGGAGGTGCAGGTTGCAGTGAGCCAAGATCATGCCACTGTACTCCAGCCTGGTGACAGAGGAAAACTCCGTCTCAAAAAAAAAAACCAAAAACGTAATTAGCTGGGTGTGGTGATGTAGCTGGCTTGTCGTCCTAGCTACCTTATAGTCCTAGCTACTTGGGAGGCTGAGGTAGGAAAGTTTGAGGCTGCGGTGAGCTGTGATCTCACCACTGCACTCTAGCCTGGGTGACAGTGCAAGACCCTG